GACTGCCCATGACAAAGACTGGATCTGTTACAGACAGCAAATAATCTACATTTTCTTTGTACATTAGAGTGATTGATTGAATTTTCAAATCCCTTCCACACAAAAGTAGAGAAGTTCAGACATTATTATTTTTTAAATAAATTTGAATGAATTCAGTTATCCCTATGATAATGTCACTTACTTGCAAGGCCAGCATTCTTTCCTAAACAGGAGGAAAATCTGTTGTGCTACAAGGTGGGTAGCCAGGAATTACATCTAAGCCTCGGCCCACCTGGGGCTGTGGGCACTGTGTATGAGCATCGTTTGTCATGTGTGTCCTAGCGGAAAGTGAGTGGAGAACCACAGTTCTAGCCACCGTGACCTCTCACGGCTCCAAGCTTCTATAATCTATTCCTTTCTACTATGGTTGCTCAAATTGTTACCAAAACCAAAGTGGGTTCCCTCCTGGTGAGTTATATCAGACTCTCCACCAGAAGTAGTTGTCTCGGGGTCAGCCTGGTGGCACAGTGGTTAGGTTTGCACATTCTTCTTTGTCAGCCCAGGATTCGCCAGTCTGGACCCCGAGTGTGGATATGGCACTGTTTGGCAAGCCATGCTGTGGCAGGTGTCCCACATATAAAGTAGAAGAAGATGGGCATGGATGTTAGCTAGGGCCAGTCTTCCTCAGCAAAAAAAGAGGTGGATTGGTCACAAATGTTAGCTCAGAGCTAATCTTCTTCAAAAAATAAAGCAAAGAGACACATTTTGGGGCTGGCCCAGGGGCGCAGCAGTTAAGTTCACATATTTTGTTTTGGCGGCCTGGGGTTCACCCAGTTCAAAGGCCATTTCCTCCAGGCAGTCTTCCTTGGTCCTTTCCCTATATGGAAGAAATCTTCTGCTCCTTTAAACTCCCATAGGAGTGTTGTCTGCCTCCCTCTAAGGGCACCTGTTATTTATTAGAACAGGATGTTAAGGGGCTGGCCTGGTGGTGTAGCGGTTAAGTTTGCACGTTCTGCTTCCATGGCCCATGGTTCGCTGGTTCAGATCTAGGGTGTGGACCTACACACCACTTGGCAAGCCATGCTGTGGTAGGCATCCCATATAAAATAGAGGAAGATGGGCACGGATGTTAGTTCAGGGTCAGTCTTCCTCAGCAAAAAGAGGAGGATTGGCAGCAGATGTTAGCTCAGGGCTAATATTCCTCAAAAAGAAAAAAAAAGAAGTAGTTGTCTACAAAGTAAAGTATATTTGCAGCAGATAAGAGACCATGAGGAATCATTTCCAAAGTCATGGTGTCCCTGAAGAAAGGGAAGCAGGGACATTTATTCTGGATGGGAAATGAATATTTAAAAGGGAGAGGTGGGTATTCGCTTGCACAGGCTCAGTTGGAAACACACTTCCACATACTGCAGGTTGTGGTAATAAGGCCTAAGCTCCTCCTGCAGAGATCTTAGCATTATACATAAGGCAAAGGTCATAGGCATGAGGCTTGGTCTGGTTCAGGGTGGTTGGTGTTTGCATCTCCTGAACATAACAAAAGGAAAAAAACCAATTTGGAACAACAATTAAATGCTTCCCAACCCACCCTTGAGTTCCTCAGGCAACCAGTCGGTGACAAAATCTGTTGTGCAATAAAGTCAAGGATCTCCATCATTCATTCTTTCTTGAAAAAAATTGTTTTGTAATTTGAAAAATTTTTAGCCTACAGAAAAGTCTTAAGAACAAAACAATGAACACCCACACAGTCCTCACCCAGTTTTGCCAGCCGTTAACACCCTGCCTCCTCCACGGCATTGCTCTCTTTACATTTACACACGTTGCCCCTTTACGAAGCCATCCAAGAGTGGTGTGCAGACACCATGACATTTGGCCCCTAAATACTTCTCCACCCTCTCCCAAGAATGAGGCCACTGTCCTATCATCTAGAATGTTGTTGCCACACCTAAGAAACTCAACATTAAGTTCAACATACCATCCACACGAAATTTCCCTAGTGGGTCTCAAAAGTATGTTTTAGTTTTCTTTTAATCCAGATTCCATTGCATTGGTTATTATATTTCATTAATCTATTAACTGGAAGAGTAAAAAGATATGCAGATACATACCTGGATTCCTATCCCAGAGCTACAAAACCAAAGTTTGTAGGGTTAGAGCCCTGGAATCTATCCTTTTTAAACTTTTTCTAGATGACTCTGATGGGAGTCAAGTTTGGAGACCACTGAGTTCTACTTGTAAGGTTAGTTGTCTTTTCAGGTGTCTAGGGCTGTTTCCCAAACAGATTTCAGTGAATTCCAGTGCCAGGCATAAGAAATTCTTGGCACAACTATAACTCATTCTAGTTGATATCCACTTCTTCTCTACGCTCGCCAGTCCCCTTCCCCTCCAAGCACACCTGCTTCCACCGCTTAGCACTGTGCTCAGTAATGACGACTTGATTGACAGGTTTTGAAGGCCTAGCCTAGACCTTATTTTGGAATTCCCTTTAATTCTAAACTCTGTTAATGGAATGCCCTCATTAATACTTTTTGATTGAGTAATCTGCGGGAGGTGAGATGAGGGAGGGGAGGAGTGGTTCATTGCAATGCAGGTTCCTAGGCGCTCCTCCAGGCTCAGGAATATGCATTTTAATCAGCTCTCCAAGTAATCCGTACTCCCCTTTTTTGTATTTCACTCTGTGGGCTTTGCAGAGTGATTTACTCTTCTTAAGCAACTCAGTAAACATCTGGTTGTGTCGTTGAATTAAATCCCTACCCTTAGGACCCTTGCCCACAAAACACAGACACCAAACTAACTTGATATTCTCATCTTTGAACTCATCTCTGTCGATGCTTTTACTTCACTAGTCCTCTCTAAGAAGAAAATGTCAGTTAATACAGTTTTAGCTTTTCTCTAAAACCATAGAAACAGACATCTTAGTTCTGTTTCATCCTGCCTTTTACTCCTGCTCTGACCAAATTCCCTTTTAGTATTGACTCAAATTGTTTATCTGAGTCTGGGCCTGACCTTTTGGTTCCAGGAGCATTCATGGTCCCCTTTTTCCTTTTTGGTGGGTAGAGGTGACACTGAGGGGAGCCTAGGGGGAGGGGTGCAGGTCACAGTCACCAGCACTGTGATTCCAGTATGTCACCCCGTACAGAGTTGTCCACCAGGGAAGAAAGAACTTATTTATGATTTTGGATTTTCACCTGACTTGCTCTGTTTGCTCAGTAACCTGATCTATTTGAAAGACAAATATTCTTTTTTAAAAATCACATTGCATTGTCTACAAAGCTGTGTTTTGCTGACGTGGAAAGAATTAAACTGAAGGGTAACCTTTTTAATATAATTGTTAAACTACCTGGTGTCTCTCAATAAAGGTAAAGAAGTACTCTGGAAAACAAACTGGCCTGTGATGAAGGATATAATTTTCCTTTTTCAATCTCTTCATGGCAGAAAATAATTCCGACTACGTGACCTAATGATGCCACTAGCAATTCTAGTGAAATAATATGGAAAATACTGAACTGTCATCAGATGTGAAGTTAGAACTGAGATAAGCAGAAGCCAGCATGTGTGTATAATACAAACCACCTACCGTACGTAAGTACATGGGGAGTGATAAACAGTCACGTTGACAAGGTAGGAAAAACATCATTCTTATCAGTTCATTAAGTAAAAAGTCCATAGCATTGCTTTGATGAGGGAAACTAATTCTTCTTCCTGATGGATGATGCAGTCATGGTTTTAACAACATGATTAAAAGATGCCATAGGAACTTTCTAAAAGTCTTTCAGAGAGACACTAGAGCTTGGGCGCTTCTTAGGTGTGCTGCGCCGCTCTAGAACGCATTCACTTTGAAACTTTAAACATGTTACAGAAGATCAAAGACAGCTGCAAATTCTTTGCTACTCTCCCCCTTTTAGAGTTGGAGTCTAATTCTCCTCCTGTGAATTTGGGCCGGCCTTAGTGACCTCCTTGACTCACAGAATGTGAAAGAAGTGATGTTCTGGAACTTCTGAGGCCAGATCAGAAGTCTTACAGCGTCTACCTAGATTTCTTAGAACACTCACTTTAAGAGAAGTCAACCACTATGTAAGAAGTCTGACTACACTAAGATCACCATGCTGTGAGGAAGCCCAAGCTAGCCATATTGATGAGAGATGCCCAGCCAGCCCCAGGTCTTCCAACCACCCTACTCCAGGTGCCAGGCATGTGAATGAAAGAGTCATGCTGGACATTCCAGCCTCAGTAGATGCAATGTGTAAAAGAACCGAAGATCCCAGAGAATAGCCAGAACCGAGGCCACAGCCATATGGCCCCAGTTAAGCGATCTCAGCCATCTCCAGCCATTAAGCCACCCCAGCTGAGGCTCCACTCATCCTGGAGCAGAGATGAGACCCGATGCTGTGTCCTCTCTGAATCTCTAGCCTAAAAACTCATGAGTGCAAGAAAATGGTTATTATTCTATGCTGCTACTTTTTGGAGTGGTTTGTTATGCAGTTATAGATAACTGGAACAGATGTTGAAGAGAGGATAACACAGCGTAACACATAACTCCAAAACTTGGGGGGTTTCAACACCACATTTCCCTTTTTTTTTTAAGGGTTTCCAATTAGGTTTTATTTTAGTTTCCAATATTATCAGCAATGATACAGGAGTAATTCAGGCAAATATATCATCTTAAATACATCGGAGAAAAAACTCACTGTGTCAAGCATGTCTTGCACTCCAGCAAATGAACATAAAAACAGAGAACAAAGTTAGCAGCATTAAAGTGCTTTTTGCGTAACTTCTTTCAGAAAGAGTCTCTCCCTCAGTGTTATAAATTTAACCTTACTTATTGTAAAGGAGCACAAAATTCCATTCATTGCCCAGGGGCTACATTCAAAAAATTCATGTTTAGTTATTCTAAATAATTTTTCCCCAAAAAAGCACAAAATTCATTGGAATTATGTAACGCTGATTTCTCCCGACACACTGTGTGAGATGACTACCATCCAGGCCTGGCAAACACTCACAACATCCTCCCACCGCACACTGACCTTGGCAAAGTCCATCACTTTGTTCGCACAACGGGGCAGACGCTGTGAAGGACAAGAAGGCACCTGGAGAGGACGCCACCTGTGTGGCCACCCACCAGTGAGCGGAGGCCACCAACTCATTTCCCCGAAGCCGAAGGCGGTGAATTCAAGAGTAGGACAAGCCCCGCCTCTCAGCCTGAGCCCCACCTCTTTCTGGGACAGAGGTGCTGCTTGTTTCTAGGAAGTTCTCTGACCTGCTCTGCAAAATCTGTTACCCAAAGACTGCTTGTCCCAGACAGTTAACGCCTAGGAGACAGAACCCTGCCCCCACTTCAACCAGTAACAACCCCCAAACTCAACAACGGGAAACACTTCTTAAAGTCAACACAAGGCCAAATGAGTGTCAGCTGGAGGCTCTGGGGACCGGGGCGGGGGAGAGGACAGGTACGGGGCTGCCCACACTGTCTCCTTGCCAACTGCAGCGTCACTGGCACAGGAGCATTAGTCCAGAGGACTGGTGGCCAAGGGCAGCTGGGGCCAAGGCGGGGGTGAGGAGTGGGGGCACGTCCCTTAAGGGATATAACAGGGATGCAATTGAGCTAGTGGGATGGCAGCTCTCAGCCACCACGAGCCCCTCACAGAGCGAGGTCAAACAGAGGACCCTGTTCTGTCAACACCACATTTCTTTTTCTCGCTCATAGGTCTGTGCATTACCTGGGGTGCTCTTCTTTAGGCTGTGAGGGAGCTAGGCTTGCTCAAGGCTGCAGGCTGGATTCAGACACACTCTGTCTTTGTTCTGGTGCCAGGCTAAAGGGACAACATCTATGTGGGGCACACTGAATCACATGTATGCAGGAGTTCAAGTACAAGTCTGCAAAAACATTTTGATGTCTCTGCTTGCTTCACATCCACTTACTCCAAGTGGCTAAGTTGGTCACGTGGTCAAGCTCAAAGTCAAAGGGGTGAATAAGTATACTCCCATCCAAGTGGGAGAAAGAAGAGAATAAATACCTGCTGGAAAATAGTCTAACCTATTGAGAGATTCAACCATCAGATGATGGTGGTGGAAATGGTAAGTGGTGCCAGACTGGACCACTTGTAGTATTTCTATAATTTGGTACTTATACATCTAGAACCCTGAGAGAACACCTACAAGCGTTGCGAGGGAAGGTGTCTAAGTACAAGAATCAATAATTTTTTTGGTACTAAATACCTAGAAGCAGGAGGCATGTAAAATTGTGAAAAGACACAAGAAATGTGATGGAAGAGCAAAAGGAGAGGGCTTAAAAAAAGAAAGGAGAGACAAAGAAGGCAGCAGGTGAAACCCTTTACCAACTCTTGGGGAGGCCAAGAGCGAACACCTGTTTCCTGGTCTGCCTCACAAGTAGGCAGAGCAGCCACAGGGCAGCCAGTCCCTGAAAGAAGCCCCAAGAGACCAGCTCCTCCTTAACAAGAGGTTTTGCTAGTTCAATGACAGATACATTCGGCATGGCATAAGGCACCCCCAAACACTACTCTCCCACTCAGCAGCTCACTTATGTCCAGTGAAGGTGCCAATAGAGCAGGGAGTTCTCCACTCCCAACTGAGGATTAACCATTAACACAGCTCTGGGGTGCACGAGAACAGCACAAAAAGCTATAGGCAGCAAAGCAGGGTTGGAGCAGGCGGGATTAAGAAGGGCTTTGGGAGAGAAGTGGTATCTGAACTGGGACTGGATGGAGGGGCAAGAAAATGCAAAAGGACCTCAGAGCCCCATTTATGTTGCATGCATAGAGGGCACAGGCCTGGAGAGTGAACTGAGGCCAGATCACGGCGGGTCTTGAATGCCACACTGAAGAGTATATTCTTTTTTTTTTTTTAAAGATTGGCACCTGAGCTAACAACTGTTGCCAATCTTTTTTTTTTTTCCCTGCTTTTTCTCCCCAAATCCCCCCAGTATATAGTTGCATATATATATATATATTTTTAGTTGTGGGTCCTTCTAGTTGGGACATGTGGGACACCACTTCAACATGGCCTGATGAGTGGTGCCATGTCCATGCCCAGGATCCAAACCTGTGAAACCCTGGGCCACTGAAGCGGAGCATGCGAACTTAACCACTTGGCCACGGAGCCGGTCCCTGAAGAGTATATTCTTAATTCAACGGGAGCCACTGCAAGCTTTTGAATATTAAGTGATATGAAGGACTTGCCCTTCAGTATATTCTTTCCTGCTTCTTTATTAACAGAAACCCCAATTTTTAACTGTGTATATGCCTGTGCAAAATAACGATTACATTTCCTATTTCTCATGCAGCCAGGAGTGGTCATGTGACTAAATTCTGTTCAATGAAATATAAAGGAAATAGTGTGTGCAAATTTTAGGAAGTGTTCCTAAAGGGAGAGGGCATTGCTCCTTCTTTTTTTTCCTGCTGGATGGGAGCTGCATCTAATCCTGACCCGCATATTATTCATTAAGGATGACTGGCCTGAGGCAAGGCAAAATGGAGGATGGTTGGAACAAGAGGAACATTGGAAGCGGGAAGGCTAATTAGAACATTGATAGTCAAGATAAAAAGTGAGGAAATAAGAACTGAGCCAGTATGGTAGCAGTGGGAATGGATGGGAGGGGTGGTTGTGATAAATATTGCAAAAGGAGTGTCTGTGGGACTTCGCAATTGATCAGATGAGAGGAGACACTAGAGAACGAAGAATCAAAGGTCACTTTGAGGTTTCAAGCAGAGGTGACCGGGCGGTCAATGATGTTGATAACAGAAATAGGAGAGTCAGAAGGATGAGCAGGCTTGAGGAAGCCAAGCGCGTGTTCGGTTTCGGACATGTTGGATTAGGATGCCAGCAGGATACCCAGGTGGAGATGGAAAGCAGGCAATTGGAAATTCATTTCTGGAGCATGATTTGAGAGTCCTTTGCATAAAAGTGGTAGTCAAAACAAAGAGAGGGGCTCGTTGGTCAAATACAGAGTGTGTCTTAGAAATTCCTCTTTCTTCAGTGCACACAGAGTAACAAACTTCTTTCTGCAAAACCAGATAAAAATATGTACAGCTTTTCACCTGACACTACCCCCTGCCTCCCTCAAAAAAAAATCCGACAGGCTCCAGCCAATGGCTGGCTGGCTTGCCAGCCTCAAGCAGCTAATCCTCACGGTCTCCAGATTTGCACAGCTCCTCCAAGTTCCTTACCAAAGTGTTTTGATTTGCACAAATATCTGGTGTGACATGTTTTAATCTTAAAACATGATTCCTTTTCAGCAAGATCTATAGTAAACTACCTTCCTCCTTCGTTCAGGTTAACCACACATAAGAAGACTTCCTTTTCACAGAAGTCTTAAAAAAACAATTTCTTTCAAAAGCAGAATGAGAAAATATAAAAATCTAATAAATGTGACAGAGTAAAACGACTCTGTAGAGGTTTCTCTTATATCTGCTGTGACCAGAGCAGATATTAAAAGTTGAAATAAAAAGGAAATGAGGGGCCAGCCCTGTGGCATAGTGGTTAAGTTCGCCCACTTGGCTTCAGTGACCCCAGGTCCCGGGTAACGATCCCTAGTGCCGAGCTATGCACCGCTTATCAAGCCATGTTGTGGCAGGCATCACACACATAAAGTAGAGGAAGATGGGCACGAATGTTAACTCAGGGCCAGTCTTCCTAAAAAAAAAAAAAAAGAAGTGAATCAAATGTGAACATTAAGGAACCATCTTTGCAAGCTGGCTAAACAGCTGTCTGCACTTTCACTAGACGGCTGAGCGCCGGCGGGATAGAAGAGGTTAAACTCCAGCTGCTTGTGTGTTTCAGCTAAAGTTACACGGTGGAAACACAACCGTAAGTGGTGGCGAGAGAACTGTGCTTCTTTTGGAAAAGTTTTGCGTCTTCGGCCCACATACCGCAGGCAGCTGCCAGGCAGCCCCCAGCACGCGCCTCCGAGTGCACTAGCGCCCGCAGTGGCGGATCCGGCGATGAGTTTGGTGCCACGGGGGGCCCCCCTTTCACTTATGGGTGAAGCTTTGTCAGAGCCGTTAATGAGCGTGTGATAAGGCTTTTCTAACTCATCCATCCATCCATCATCCATCTATCCATTCATCCATCCATCCATCCATCCTTTGTCTCAGGGCCAGGGCCTGCGCTCAGCACCCCTGTGTCCTTTAGCCCACGCAACCCAATGGGACTCCCGGAGGACGGGATTTTACGCAAAAAGAGGGTGCAGCTGGAGGACAGCCCTAGGCCCCCCTCACCTCGCGAGGCCCCTTCGTAAGAGGCTGGCGCGCTCTGGAGCCGCCTCCGGCCGCGCGGGGGCGAAGGCACCCAGCCTCGCGTGAACCCTTCCCCTCCCCCAATCCCCAGGACAAGGAACGCGCCGCGTTCCACATTCTCCTGGGCCCTCTAACTCCGAGGGCCCAGACCCCGGCCGGCCCGAGCGGCCCCGGCAGGTGCCAACGAGCACAGGCAGTCGCTCAGGCCGCGCCTCCTTGCGGTCGCCGGGAGCCGGCCCTCATCACCCGGGCCAGGAGGAGGGGTGGGTGCCGGCATTGGCGGGCTCTGCAGGCGCCCCAAAGGCCTGGGACAGCGTGCCGGCCCAGTCGACCCCCGTCCACGCACAGGCAGCTAGGGGCGGGGCGGGGGGGCGGGGCGGGGCGAGGGGCGGGGCGGGGGTTGGGGAGGGGCGCGTGGCGGCTGCTTCCGGGCGCTGATTGGCTGCAGGGGCGGGGGCGGGGCGGGGCGGTGGGTGTGAAGGCGTCACGCTCAGGCCGCTCTCTACTCCCTCCTTCCTCGCCTTTGCGTCCCGGCTCGCCGCTCCCGCGTTGCATCATCTGCAGCGTGGGGCTGCCGTGGGACGGCTGGACGCGGCACGATCCGCTCAGGCCGGGGCTCCAGCCCGCTCTCCCGCGTCTCTCCTGGCTCTCTCCGCACCTGCTTCTGTGTCCAGGCCGGGAGTCCCCCACGGGCCGGCTCCCAGAACCCGCGGGGCACAGCTAGCGAGCCTCGCCAGCTCCGCCTGATCCATTCATTGAGAGCCCCGTCTTTCCTCAGAGCCCAAGTCCCCCGCCTCCTCCAGCTCGGAGCCGCGGCCAGCGCCATGGAGAAGAGCAGCGAGACCAACGGCTACCTAGACAGCGCTCAGGCGGGGCCTGCCGCGGGGCCTGCCGCGGCCGGGGCCGCTGCGGGACGCGAGCGGCGCTGCGCCCGCTTCCTGCGGCGCCAGGCGCTGGTGCTGCTCACCGTGTCTGGGGTGGTGGCGGGCGCAGGCCTGGGCGCGGCGCTGCGCGGGCTCGAGTTAAGCCGCACGCAGGTCACCTACCTGGCCTTCCCTGGCGAGATGCTGCTCCGCATGCTGCGCATGATCATCCTGCCGCTGGTGGTCTGCAGCCTGGTGTCGGGCGCCGCCTCTCTTGACGCCAGCTCCCTCGGGCGCCTGGGCGGCATCGCCATCGCCTACTTCGGCCTCACCACGCTGGGCGCCTCAGCGCTCGCCGTCGCTTTGGCGTTCATCATCAAGCCTGGGTCTGGCGCGCAGACCCTTCAGTCCAGCGACCTGGGCCTGGAGGTGTCGGGGCCTCCTCCGGTCCCCAAAGAGACAGTGGACTCTTTCCTCGACTTGGCCAGGTAACGGTCCCCCACCTTGGCGTTTGCGCAGTGGGAGACACCGCTCTCTGATGCGCTCCAGTTCATACATACACACATACCCTCATATATTCCTAGGAGTTAATTCTTAATTGGCTGCTGGTGGCCTTTAACATTTTTTTAAATATAGAAATAACGTCTGGAGTCTGCATGCTGACCACACCTTTGCAAACATCAGCCAGGGCGCACCTGACAATCTCAAGGAGCAGGCCTGCATCTTTTAGCAAGAGCCAGTCTTACCGTTAGGTCGGAATGTGTGTTAGGGAAGATGCAGCCGGCTCACCTGTGCTTTATTCCTTATACTCTCTGGCCGCCTACACCGGTAAAAACGTTACTCCACGCCCCTGATAGGTTCGCCTCATTTTCTCCCCGCAGTGCCGGAAAGCTTCTGGGAGCATCGGTTAAATTTTGCCTGTTGGGTCGCCCTCGTCTGTAATCGATGGCCGCCTCTATTTCAGCCCTCTGACTGGGAGGAAGCTGGCAATTTTTTGAAGAGTTGTCAGTGGATGTGAGGATAACAAGACTGGGGTTAGCCGCGTGGGGCCCATTGCCCAAAAACATGCCTCTCTTCTACGCTTGGGGCAGGTTGCTGCTCACCCCATAGTCAGGACCACTTTAGAGGATTGTGAGTTTCAAGGGGCTTTATTTGTGGGAAGGTGTGAGTTCTGGAGGGGAGGGGAGAGAAGCATCTTCACTTAGCTTTGCCTATTTTTTGGCCTTCTTAGAAATTGCATTGCATCCCTTGAAATGCAGTGTAGTTTCTGTGGATCATTTAAAGCCTCTGTCCGGGCCTTTCTTGGTTTCTCCATTAGCCCGGAGTTCGTAGATGGGAAAACTGCAACCTGGAGGCATTCTCTGACCTGGCCAGGTTCAGCCGAGTGAGGGGCTCAGCTGGCTCTCCCTCTAGGTTTCCGATAATTCTGGGTTCGGGGCCTTGGAGGTAGATTTTGTCTTGAGTCACTGAGGCAAAGCTCCTCATTCCTGAGGCTGTTGAAAAACAGCAAATCCTGGGCAAAATGACTTGACTTCCTGCTATTTCCATTTCTCCCTCTGGAAAATGTGATGACTGTCTGCCACTTAAGAGAGAGAGTGTTCATCTAAAACTACATTGAAAAAAAATCTCTGATGAGGGGGACCGAAATGTTCTCACCAAGAAGGCAGGTGGAGGCGGCCTATTAGGACTTGGATGAGATCACAGAGTTTGTTTAGCATCTGGCAGCTAGATATTTAGAGTCTTTAGAGGTCCTTAAAGTTTGGGGACTCACTTTTAGGTGGGTGCTGAAAACAAAGTCTGCTGAGGTTGAGAGTGCCTTAGACTTATTACCTTCAGTGTGTCAGTCAGCTCTCCCCGGGAAGGAAGTTGATTATGGGGTTAAAGGATTCCTTTTTGCAGGGGTCAGTGGTCCAGAGAAGGGAGTGTGGATGCCCCGCTCTGACCTGCTGGTGGTGCCCCATAAGGAGGCTCAGTAGCATTCTTTTATCCCCAAGAGAGGGGCAATGGCCCAACAACAGGGGGTAGGGGCTGAGGGGAGGGGGTACCTTATTACCACCAGTCCCAGAAGAGACATCTTATTTCCTGATCATGGTTTTCTAGTTTTGGATCCAAGCCTCTTCAGTCCTGCTTCTGAAGTGAGTGGTGACCCAGCCTCGTGGCTTAGCAGTCAGTGTAGGTGCAGCCTTTTCAGTGACTTGGGCTGCAGATACAGGAAGGGACTAAGAGAACCTTTGTCGTGGCTTGTTGGGAATAGCTAGCATTTCATGCTTCCAATGGCCAACCTCATTTAATCCAGCAGCTCATGGATAAAGGTAGGGCAGGGGGTGTGATCCTATTTTATGACTGAGGAAACTGAGACATGGAGAGACTAGGCCATTTGCTCAAGGTCACAGAGTGGTTTATCAAAAGGGGGATTAGAAAGTTCAGGGCTCTCTTTCTCCCACTCCCCTCGTCCCCAAGTCAACATGCCATGGTAATGACACTGTGCTGCTGGGCTAGTCTGACGGTCTCAGAAATGTTTGCTCTAGGCCCAAGGAGGAACCAGGTGAGGGTATGATTGCATCAGCCAGATGCTCCTTCCTCTCAGCTCCTTCCTCTCAGCAGAGGAGCTGAGCCCCTTCCGTGAAGGAAAGCACGGGCGTGTGCAGCTGCAGGCTTTCGCGTGGAGCAGCTTGTGTGAGGAAACAGTCCTGAGGCTCGTGGAAATGCTTCTTAGGTCTGGAGAGTCTCTGGATAAAAATTTTAAAGTTGCTTCCTTCAAAGAAACCCCGTGGATGCCATTTTTATGACTCTGGGCATGTTCTTTCGCAAAGGCAGGGTGCAATGCTTTCTGCCTCTGGGCACTTGAATGAAATGAGATTCTGCCAGTAAATACCTCAGTTCTCCAGCAGGCTCTCACCTGGTCACTGCCCAGAACTTAAACACCTGCAAGGGGTGGGAGAAGTCTCTGGTGATTTAGTGTAGCTACCACCAAAGCTTTGCTAAAGTCCGTGATCTTTCCTGGTGGCAGAGTGCCCCAGAACTCCCGTGGGGTTTCTTTGCCATCATTTCTAATTTATTTTTTCAAGATGAAACTACAAGTCAGAAAGAAATGAAGCTAATAGATATTCATTATGCCTTTTAGAAAATTCAGAATGACATTGCCAAGTGATGTGATTTCCCAACACACGATGGATTAGAAATGACATAGTAGACTGGGGAGTGGGTATGAGGCACTGGCGCTAGGAGCAGGCCCTTTATTGCTGAGGAATGATGGCGGATGTCAACCGGCAGGTAGGAAAGTCACAGACAGTCTCCCCCTGGGCAGCCTGGACTCGCTGCCTGGGGACCTGAAACAGTACAGGACTCTCAGAGCTGGGTGTGCCCCTAGTGATTGAGCTGTGATTTTTCATCCAAAAGGAAATGGTTTGGGCACCAAAGAGACAGACACAGATTGTCAGGAACCCAATCCTTGTGGAACTTATGGGTCTGCAACAATGCTTACTGATTGTGGGTCCTAGGGCGTGTCCGTAGCTTTCTGTGCCTTGGCCTCCTCATCTTTATAATGGGGTCATGAGAACAGCTACCTCACAGGATGGTTTTGAGGGTTAAATGAGTGCTGTCTGTAAAGCTCTTAGAACAGGACTGGCCCAGTATATGCTTGCTCTTATTATAAATGGAACGATACCACAGAGTGATTGTGTTTTTCCAGTTCACATGAGCTAATGGGAATGACTCTCTTTTCATAATCTGAAATAAATGAGAGTAAATGGGAAGAAAAGGAATGTTTAGGGGAACCCAGGATGACTTGAAGCTAGTGTCTCTTTAGGTATATTGGGAACCACATGGAGCCTGGAGAAAAAGAAGTGAATGGTGACTAAGTTTTGGACTAATGGAATCAAACTATGGGAAGTTTGGAAAATGGAGAAAAGCTCAAACTAAACACAGAAGAGCCTCCCATTCTGAAATGGGGCAGAAATCCGCACATATCCTCGCTGCCATTCCGGTTTCTTTTTTTCCTGCCTTACATGTTCATGGTCTCCAAAGTTGACCTCAGTTTTCTTCAGCTGTAAATGTAAAGGATTGAGGCAACTGGCTTCTAACATTCCTCTGGATGCTGAAATTTGTAGTTTTCAATGGAAACCCAGAGGCTTATTTGCAAAGGAAGCAGGTAGGGTCAGCTCCTCAGCCAGGACTCTGGACACCAGCAGCCAGAAGAATGGCCTTGGGCCACTGTCTTTTGCAGAGGGTGGCAGGGTGCTACCATGTGCCTGGTAAACACAGTTGAGATTTTGCTTGTTGCCCAGTTTTTTAGGCTTTATTGTTTTTTCTTGTGCTCATTTTCTCAACAGTGGACAGTGCCTTTCCCTTCACTGAGGGAGACGCAGGGGCTTACTTTCCTCCCCAAGGACTGGCATGAATGTGATGCCTCTCAAGCTGCAAAGAACACATTTCTTTAATCCATGCCAGGAAACCTATTGGAGACGGAGATCTGATGTCAGCGCCTAGATTGCAGTCAGAGAGAATAGTGAATCATTTCTTCTAAATATTGGCCATGGCAGGTGGTTTGAGCTATGCCTAGGACTACTCTTCTGTAGGCAAGATGAAGACTCTTAGCAGATCTGACAAGGACCCAAATTAATGGAAGTTTCTCAGCCTAACTAGTCACTAAAGGGAAAAAATGTCAGCTTGCAATTAAAAAAAAGTCTTTAACACGATGCTATTTCTTCTACCACCCAGGAGAATACCTGAGTAGTTCAGAGACTGAAAAGAGCATAAACCCAGAGAGGCAGCATGGTAGTTACTAAGAGCAGACACTGAAGGTGACTACCTGGGTGTGAATCCAGCCCTACCACTTACAGCTGAATGGACAAGTCATTAAGCCTCTCTGTGCCTCAGTTTCCTTATCTGTAAAATGAGGTTAATAATAGTATCTGCTACTTACACTTGTTAAGAGGATTAAATGAATTTATATTTGAGTGTCTTGCTAATGTTCTGTGTCGCAGGCTCTCAGGGACAGCTGAGGGCTACTTGATACAGAGAATGAGTGCTCCTAAAAGGTCCCCTACCACGGGGGCCCAATATTAGCTTTTCCGGCAGGGATCTAAAACTGGATGTGGGCCTTAAAAAGAGGGCGGGTTACTCCCCAACCCCTACTGTCACCATAGCGTGAGCCCACCCCCTCTGCCCTTCCTCTGCTCCCAGCCTTGAAGGGAGTGCCGATATCCGAAAGGGCACATCCCTGTCAACTGCTCTACAACAATAAGCACTCGGGATAATAAATATTTATCAGGTGTGCCATATCCTGTTCTGAAGAGTCTTTGAAATTTTCATCAATTTGGTAAAGAATTTTTGAACTTAAATAAAAGGAAATACTTCTGGAACAAAAATATACATAAGCAAAAGTAAATTGTTTTACATTCTTCTCATATAGAACAGGAAAATGCATACCACCCTTGACAACAGGATCAGAAGAAGCAGTACCAGATGTGTAAAGAAGGACCATTTT